AACAAAGTACAATCATTGCAAACGTCTAGTGAACAGTCCAACCGAATTAGGAAAATACTTGGTCAACCACCTTGTGTTTGAACACCAGTAATTAACTCGTTCATACATATTTTAATGATTTGAATTAACCATATTTAGCTCCTTTCTTTCAAGAGCTTCCATAGCACTCTTTCTTGGGACTTTATCATATGCTTTCTTCAATCAATAATATATATGTAGATCCTCTTAGTCTCTCTATAATTCTCCATCAAACTCTCAATAAGATTTGTGTTTACGCCGCCCCATCCTAGGGCCGGCTGGCGGTCACCCCTGGACGCTCAGGACTTACTCCCGGCGGAAGAACGCAGCCAGGGTGGGCGGAGACCTAGGGGGGCCAGACTTGATGTATTTTGAGTTTTTGGGAGGGAATTTTGAATGTGAGGGGTGATTAGGTAGTTTATTTCTGGTAATCTTCCTTCTGTATAAATTAGGAGGAATAGAGGGGAGAAGGATTATCTTGAATTTGAATCTTATTTGGATCTAGGGTTTGTGTTCTGGCTTCTAGGCTAGGCTAGAGATTGGAGGTTTTTTCCTTTCTCTCGAATTGAAGGAAAGTTGTATTTGCCAAGTGCTTTTTCTCGTTCGAAATATAGTGTTTGCATCGTTTTCCTAGTTTTTCCTCTCAATTTTTTCTTGTATTTTGGCTGTTTTTCTGCTGTGGACAGAGTTTCGCCTTGGGATTATTGATCTTGGTGAGAACACTTGAATCCAATGTTACTATCATATGACTTCTCATGTAGATCTACTGGCATGCATCCAATTGATTTCGAGAAACATAGTAACACGCTGCAACCTAACGCTCCATAACTCGCTCCATAATTTTAAGTTATGACATTACTTAATTCTTCTATATTCGCACAATCTTGTGCATCACCTTTATTCTTAAAATAGATTACAACTCATTCTCCCTCATTGAATCTTTTTAGTCTTAAAATAAGTATAAAAGCTTAGTACCAGAAATTCATTCATTTCTAAGCTTCACCATTTATTGGAATATCATCAAGTCCAACGTTTTTCCATCCTTATTTATCTCTTTGAAGCCTCTCTATCGATTTTACTAATAACGCCGATAAAAACTAATCTTTATTTCATTTTGGGTGCTAAGAGTCACTAAAGTCAATTGTATTTTCACATTCTTCATTAAAAGTTTAAGCAAAATTTCTCATCACTTTTGTTATATCCTCTCTAAGAAATATTTGATTCATCCTTAATATACTTCACTTGAACTAAATCTTACTACTCATTATCTCTTTGTTTGGCTAACTTATACATATATTTTCTCCCTCCTTAGTATCTAACTATTATATCATTAAATAGGTAAGATTTTGCATCACATATTGCTTTATTAATTCTTCTATGCCTCTTTATATTTTCCAATTTTTGAATTTTTATATTTAAACTAAATTTTATAATAAAATCTTTTATTTTTTTCTATCTTTTTCTTGTACATTTGGATTCACCATTAATTATTTAAAACTATTAGGAACTTTCTTCTTTGATACTTCAAGCACTCTTTTTGTAATATTCTTAATATGACAGAGCCACTTTTTCCACATAGAACAGTTAGCATCCTCATGCACAGAAAATAAAAATAATAATATAACTTGCATCAACTGTTTATAGTGGAAATAGGATTCATCAGCAATATTAATCCTAGGTAGCTTTCAGGAATCATCGCTCACTATTCCAATTGGCGTGGGCAATAGGGTTTGTGCCAAATTCTACAACTTATAACCTTTACTGATGATCACATTTTTTTTCCTAACTTGTCACTATAAATTTTATATACCAACATTATTGATTATATGAATGCAAAATAATATCTACACCAAACTGGAAAGTGAGAGACAAGGTTTAAACAGCGTATGCTTAGAAATTTCTTCAGTAAAACACTAAGTTGCATTAGGAACCTACGTAAACTGCATGGAAGGCCAAATAGGCCTGAGTAAATTGTAGAATTTTTTATGCCATTGCCAAGCCAGCTCTCACCAATGTCAGAGCAAGACTACTGCCTGAATGCAAACTAGAAATTGAAATTGAAAGCATGAGGAACGTCGCCCAATAGTTATCTTAAGCTTTAGTAGGCTGTTTTAGCCATGGAAGCGCCTTTTCTAAAGTAAATCAATCTTTTGCAATTCCCAGAAAATGGGGATTAAGAAGTGCGTACAGGAAGAAATTTGTGAAAAAATTTTCATTTACAATTTAACTAGACCAAGAACTTGTGCCAACATGGTTTTTGATGAAGTCCGTGGACCAAAAAAAATCAAGAGCTTATATGCAAAATTTGGAAAACATGCAGATCCTTCGGTAGTGTAGTAGTCTAAGCATCAGAAAACTCACAAAGTATTATCTATCACCAAATTCTGATTTACTGAAGAAGGAATGACGACTAAGTATTACATATGACTGACATTCTAGTTTTCCCATTCATGTTTCTTAAAATAAAAAGTGAAAAAGGTTTCTGCCATCATACTATTATTCTTTTAGAACACATTGATATCATTAGCATCATTACTATGGAATAAATCGAGTAAATGAAAAAGTCCCTGCATTTTTTTAAGTTTCACTTTAGAGCCAAGTTCAATGCTTCGAGTGGCACCTTGTTGTTTGGTCTAGCTTGCTTCTAAATCAATATCTTTCTCTATTTCTCTTGCCAAAATCAATGCTTTCAAATTCCCCTTTTTTTTGGTTTTGCCTGGGGGGAAACCTTCCTTGGCATCCGAGCCAATCGCCTAGATGTCACACGGCTCTAGGATTCTCCCCTATGGGATCTCATTGCTTTGAGGGGATGAAAAGATTAAAAAAACTATGCTAAATTTTATTATTTTCCCACACATCAAGGGCTTACATCTACCTTCACAAGCTTCAACCCCAGTTCAGGCAAACCTAATTTCATTTTATCTGATAGGAGAACTCAATTGTTTTACATTTTCCTCTCCCTAACTGGCCAATTTTCGAGGGTTCATCCTGGAATGGAGATTATTCGCAAATTCCACGGATCACCTGCAATTTGCTAGAGCTATAGTTGGGTCATATTGCTATTTGTCTTTTCTATCAAGCATCCAGGAATCTGATATTCAGACTTCTATCAGAGAAAGCAATGGTGTTGATAGGTCCGATGTGTATGCCTCAAAAGACATCTAATTTTGATTGCTGCTTTGGGAACCTCATATCACCTAATTTGGTGTATTTTTTGACATTTATGAGTCATTTTCAATCAAATCCATTTTACCTCCTTTGAGTTCCATTTTTTGGCAAAACATTTCAGTAGATGCTACTAGTGTTTTAACTTTCGAAGCCATAATTGGATGTTTCTTCTTCTCTTTGAAAGAATTAGATTGGCTCACATCTAATGAATATTGGTAGGTCTGAGTACAGGTCATTTTTCCCTTTTCTTGGAAAAATTTTGGCAATTCTTCGAATGTTTTAGGGCAAACCCAAACTCTGGAACCAAGTAATCATGGCGGTAGGGATCTTTCATCTGGTAATATTCAAATCTTCCGATGCAATGATGGAGTTTCATCTACATCTTTCTAATTGTGCTCAAAACTTGAAATTAACTTTGGATCCTGCCTTTGTATAGTGCCTTCTAGGTTGCTACCAATCCACAATTATTCATATGGTTTAGTGATCCAGTTCCTGCTAGCTACTTGCTTCGTGATTTAATGTGGAGATAAAAGTGATCTAGACTCTCATTGTTACATCTATTGTTTAGAATTGTCCAACACAAGAAAGCTTATGGACAACAAGTTCCAAGATCTATATGCTTGAGAGGAAGAAATAACCAAATATCTATCACAATTCACGTTAAAATAGTAATGTGGGCTTTGACGTTTTCTCTTCTAATCTGCCTT